TAGTAGTAGAGTGAGGTAGAGTGAGAGTGAGTGAGAGAGAGTGAGTGAGAGAAGAGTAGAGTGTAGAGTAGAGAGAGGAGGAGAGAGAGAGAGAGAGAGAGAGAGAGGATTGTTTCTTGGGTCCACGGATTGTAGGTTACAGCACAATACTAGCAATAGACTGGAGGTTGAAAAGGAAGTAGTCCTCCTCTTTGACATTTATGATTCCTCTTAGAATAAATATACTAAATGGCTTGTTATTCTTGAGACTCTGTTGTATAATTTTCTTTTTGGGTTAGGTTGGCAATTTTCTAGATCGCTGGAGAGTATGAGTTGTAGATTGCTGAATAGTATGGTATAGATTGCTGAATAGTATATGAGTTGCCCAAATACCAGTTGAGGCTCGCCTAGGAGAAAATGGCTGGGAGAAAACATGTTTGTGTTGACTACGATCTTCTTTTGCGTTTCTCTCTCGTGCTTTGGCATTTGTGTTCTTCGACACCCTATTTTGTTTCGAAGCACTGGTTAGAAGGTGTTCTCATACGAATGACCATGGCTTAAAATAGTATATTTGTTTTATTTTTTTAAATTGGATGGACAGGAAAGTTTGAAGGTTTTTATGCCACATGTATATTTGAAAAATTATAAAAAATAACTTGTAATAAATGAACTAAATAAATTGGTCAAAAAAAAAAAATGAAATGAATCAAAATATCCATGGGAACTTGAAACTCGAGGGTTAAACTTAAATTTCGATTGTGAAAGAATTAAAATAAAATAGGCAACCCACTGTTCATATTTATGCTAGGGCGTTCCCCTAAGCGGCATCTTATCGGTTAACTAGGAAATTCCTCAAAAGCGACCCGTTGTAGTGAAAAATAGGTAAGGGGTTTTTTGACATTCTGATTTCTGATAATAATAGAAATGATGAAAAAATTAAAGAAATAGATATGTATAAACATTGGTTTAAAAGAAATGATAATAATAGAAATGACATAGGCATAATGGTAGGTAAAGATTTAAAAGACAAAGTAGTTAATATATATATATATATATATATATATATATATATATAATAAGTAGTAAGTAGGTGTAGTCGTACTTTTAATTAAATTAATTTAATTAAATTAAAAAAATAATTAACTTAAACTATTT